ACCCCAACCGCGATCGGAATCAACGTTTGCAGCGCCCCCATTGTCGCCTGCGTCTGCGGCTCGGCGGCCGGCTTCGACTGAGGCTCAGGCTCCGCAGCAGCAGCAGTCTCGGCCCTCTTCCCCGCCATCGCCCGCGTCGTGGCCCTCCGGTAGACGGGGCCGGACGGGCCGCACAATGCGTCGACGGCCGTTTCCTCGTAGTATTTGAGCGCCTCGGTCGCCGTCATGTCGTCACCCTGGGCCTCGTTCTTCTCATCGCCGCCCTGCGTCTCTGTCTTCTCCTCGCCACTGCTCGCGCTGGCCGTGTCGCGCTCGCTAGCTGCGCCGCGGTCGAAAAGGGCGGCAAACATGCCGATTGCGCTGAGTTCGCTACGAGTCCGTCCGTGTCCAAGATTTTTTTCTTCTTTTGTTACTGGTTACCGATACACACGGTCGCACGACCGAGTCTCCGCAAAGGGTCCACCGTGGATGGAGATGGAGCGTGAAGTTGCATTCGTTGAAGAGGAAAGGCTCAAAGCGAGCTGCTGGACCCCGCCATGGGCATGGCCTCGCCCCTGCTTGCAGTAGAAGCAGACCTGCTCCGCCGGGTTCTTCTTCTCCGTACAGCCCGGCGTAGTGCAGATGTCGGCCACCGGCTTGATTGGAGACACGTTCGGTGCCGGCGAGGAGGACGAGGTCGAGGCAGCAGACGAGGTGGAAGCCTGCGGATCGCCCTTGGCCTTGCACTGGCACGCGATAACCTCCCACCCGCACGTCCCGCCGACCCCCGAACGGCGAACCGCGCGTTTCAGCAGCGCATCGAGATGAGGCCGCTGTGATGATCTTTTTGTTTTTTAAAGATCACTGGTGCGCGGACGGCCCGGGGAGCCTACGGCGCCATTTTAATCCGCGCTCCTCTTTATGGCCTGCGGCGCCTGGCTTGAGCCAGGAAGTGTAAGAGGCACCGCCGAGTTGCTCACGAGTTTTTTGTTGCATCGAATCGAGTGGCAGATGCAGCGCCGACGCTGTAGGTACGTGGTGATTGCGGTGTCTCGCGCCTTTCGCATCCATGTCCTCCCTCCCAACGTACAACGAGCCTCTGCTCAACAGTGACGGGCAGCCGAACGATGGGTGGCAGATGCAGCGCCTCGTCGTCACCGTTCTTGCCGTCTCTCTCGGCTCCTCCCTGCAGGTGCGTGTGGTGCACGCCGAAACTCGAGCGAAACTGTGTGTCGACGACTCTCCGTGCTGACGCTTCGCGCCGAGCGCCCACCGCCCCTCCTCGTCCGCTGTCGCAGTTCGGCTTCGCCACCGGCTCACTCAACAACCTCGAGGCGGTGGTGCCGGCGTCGCTGCCCGGGACGCTCGAGACGTGGCAGTGGGCGCTGATCAACTCCTTCTTCTCGGTGCGCTGCCGCTGCATCGCGCCCACACCGACTTCTTCGCCGCTCTCCCTCCCGCCACCCGCACGACGTCGCCGCACATCTGCGCCACCCGCCGCCCTCCATTGACGTGCGTGGCGGCTTGTGCCGTCGGATCCAAGGGCTGAGCCGGCAGCGCCACCGCCACAGATCGGGGGTCTGATTGGCTCGTACGGGTGCGTCGCGCCGCTCGCGTACCTGGGCCGCAAGAAGACGCTGCTGTGGGCCAACCTCTTCGTCTTCCTCTCCTCGGCGCTCATGTTTTTTGGCGAGGTCTGGTGGGTCTTGCTGCTCGGCCGCGTCTCGATCGGCGTCGTCGCGGGCGTGGCGCAGATGGTGGCGGGCTCGTACATGACGGAGATCGCTCCGATCGCCATCCGCGGCTCCGTCGGCGTCTGCTCGCAGGTCGGCATCGTGTGCGGCATTGCCTTTGCCAACTTTCTGACGGTGCCCGCCCTTGCCTGCGGGTCCCTGTCCCGCCCCGCCGGCGCACATACACACACGCACACACACACACACATACACACACACACGCACACGCACGCACACGCACTCTCTCTCTCTCTCTCTCTCTCTCTCTCTCTCTCTCTCTCTCTCTCTCTCTCTCTCTCTCTCTCTCTCTCTCTCTCTCTCTCTCTCCCTCCCCCTCTCTCTCTCTCTCTCTCTCTCTCTCTCTCTCTCTCTCTCTCTCTCTCTCTCTCTCTCTCTCTCTCTCTCTCTCGCTCTCTCTCTCTC